TTGGTTTATTAATATCCCAAGTCTTGCAGAGCAGGGGAAACCCGATTCTCATCCGGCCCTAAAAGCACCTGCAGCTCTCTGCCAGGGGAAGCAGGGAGGGAGGGTACTGACCCGGGGCTTATCCCTCCGCCGGGGGTCCCAACCCATGATCCAACATCTTCCCTCGTCCGCAGGTGAGCGACGGGAGCCTGACAGTGCTCTCTGTCAGTCGGGAGGACAGGGGTGCCTATACCTGCCGGGCGTACAGCATCCAGGGGGAAGCTGTGCACACCACGCGCCTGCTTGTTCAAGGTGAGACCTTCCAGCCCCTCCGTCTCTTCCTGGGTCGATGGCATCCCTGGGGGGGCTGGGAGGGGGCTGGCCGCGGTCCCACCCAAGAGGGAGGACCCACAAGCCCTGTGGGCTCAGCATCATGCTGGCTTCACATCCCGCTTGTAGGATGGAGAAATCCAGTTAATTGGGGCAGCGCGGTGGCCGTGCGGACAAACAGCTGGGCCCCTGTGGCAGCTCGGTTTTGTTCGGGAAGCGGGGAAAAGATCGAGGCTGTCACAAAGCGCCTTGTCGGATAGCGGTGATGCATGGCAGGCCTCTCGCTCCTCGCTCCCTCCTTTATTAAATAAATCTTTAATCAGGTCAACAGCTACCAGCGGAGAGGAGAACGTGGGGTGTTCTCTGCTCTGCTTGCCATGGCTGTGGATGCTCATGAGCTCACTGCTGTCTCCCGGCAGTTTTTCCCCTGGGCTTTTTCCTCCGCGGGTGATGCGATCCTGGAAATGGGTTTGGGATGAAGAGGTGTGAGCTCACCTGCCCTGGGAGAAGCAGAAGCCCATTGGTGCAGGACTCCCTCCCCAAAGTGACAGAGATGGAAGGGAGAAGGGTCTGGGATTAACAGGTCCACTGTGCTCCTTAAGGGCAGCCCCGTGATGGAACTGAGCCCGAGCAACCTTAGTGGGGACACCTCTACTGGTGGGGTGACGCTTTTCTCTCTTCTCCCTGCTCCAGGACCTCCTTTCATCGTTTCCCCTCCGGAAAACATCACAGTCAACATCTCCCAGGATGCGCTCTTCACCTGCCAGGCCGAGGCGTACCCCGGGAACCTCACTTACCTATGGTACTGGGAAGAGGAGAATGTCTACTTCAAGAAGTGAGTTTGCAGCCAATGGAGTGATGTGTCCTCCTCCTGGGGCCGCTGATGGTGCGGGCATTGCCCCGGAGTCTCCCTGCGATCCTCCTCTCTTCTCTCACAGCGATCTGAAGTTGAGGGTGCGGATCCTGATTGATGGGACGCTGATCATCTTCCGTGTCAAGCCAGAGGATGCTGGAAAATACACCTGTATCCCTAGCAACAGCCTGGGCCGCTCGCCATCAGCCTCTGCCTACCTGACGGTGCAGTGTGAGTGTGGGCAGCGGGGCCCGATCCCGAGGGATGGGGCTGGGATTGACAATACCCAGTTCTGAGACCGCCCCAGTAAGATACTGGGAGGCTCAGGTTGATGTGATGGGCGTGCAGTCATCCTCAGCGAAGGGTTGGGAGCATCCCGCGTGTTCTTGGAGATGGGCGATGAGGAAGCAAACAGCCTGAGCATCCCGTGCCAGTGTCCACCTTTGAAACGGGTGGTTTCTGACGAGGTAGGCACCTCACCATGGCTGCTGCTGGCACGCTGTCCTTTTCACCTGCCTGTGTCAGGCAGGGAAGCACCAGAACAGGGCTCTCCATCTCAGCTACCTACTTGAATTTTTTTGGTATTTATTATGGGGGCTCGTTCCCACGGCGTGGGTTTTCCATGAGCTCGCCGGCTAATGTGTACCGTATTTTTCAGGCCGTAACTGATCTAAACAAGCAGAGGAGAAGGGGCTGTAGCAGGAGCGTTGCTTCCCACGCTTGTTCTCTCGGGCTCCCTGGGCGGTAATGGGTAGTGTGCCACCGACGTCCTGTGGCATTCAACAGTAATGGCCTCAATTGCTGACGCTCGCAATTGCAATATTGCTCCGCCGTGAAAGGCTGCAGCAGGTTTATTTTATAATGAAAGACAGGCTGGAGCACACCGGGCTTGTGACTCGCGGTTTTAAGCCTGCCTTTGAGCTGCTGCTTGTGAACCTGGTGCTGGTTAGTGGGAAACCCCATGCCGTTGGGGAAGCTGCTATGGGAAGGGTTGGTAGGTCCGCTCGTTTCCATATGGGGATGGATGAAGGGGCAGGGGGGAGCTGTGACTGGTGCCGTGCCCAGGCAGAGGGCGTGATCTGGGGCTTGGATGCGCCCGGCTGGGCGGCACTTGGGAAAGCATGTGGCTTCAGACCATTAAATCTGCCCTGCCACTAATCCAGGAGCACTCATCAAGGCTTGATAGCTGTTAAAAATAGCTCTGATGGCAGGAAAACCAGCACTGGGACAATCTGCCAGTCGGATGGCCCCGCAAGGCATTGGCGCAAGGAGGTGCGCTTGGCGTTTGGTGCCGCAAACCCTTGGGATGGAGGCTTCCCACCGCAGCGGCCGTCGGACAGGGACACGGCTCTGGGTCATTAGTGAGCTGGGCTGGCCCCCAGCCAGTGACCTAGTAGTGAAAGGCTTGATCCCATTACCCTCTCCTGCACTGCCAGAACCCTTGATTACATTTCCTAAGAGGTGGAGTTAAGCGGAGGGGGATAAAGCCTGCTCCATATGCAGCGCTGGGCAATCTGGGTTACGGTGCCATTGCCGGGGGCGTGTGGTTTTTGGGAAGCCGTTGAGGGTTATGTTTCAGCAGGGAGGGTGCAGAGCTCCCAAACTTGGTAGCTTTTGCCCCAAGAAAGCAATAACGAAGGGGGCGCACCCACATCCTCCATCCCTTCCTCCTAAAAGCTTTGCCTTTACTTCCCAGCTTAGCGTTTTTAGATCAGCAACGCGGGGATGCTGCACCCCAAAAAAATGCCTTCATCCCTTAATGCAGCGTAAGCCCCGTCGGGATTTTCCCGTAACCTTGCGCTGCCGGTGTCTAGACGAGATTGTAGAAATACTCGCTCTTCTTATTAAAAGTAACTTTTTAAAAAAAAAAAAAAAAAAGCTTCTTATTAAAGAAAGTCTAGATTCTCTCCAACCCACTCGCACTTAATTAAAAAGCTCTTAGAAGCACTGTTAATGACACATCCTAGACTGGAGGATTGTGAGACGCCTCGCTGCGTGGGTGGCGCGGCGCAGGGAGGGTTGGGTACGTATTTTAAGCTTTTTGCATCCTGTTGGAAAGGGTGGAGGTGGTTGATGCTCAACATGACCCAGCCTCGGTGAGGCACAAGCTGCGAGTACAAACAGACAGGAGGTAAAAGCCCGGCCACAGATCCCAACTCCCGTCTCGGTGGCTGTGGTTGGTGTGTTTTAAGGCTTGGGAAGTTGGCGTTGTTTCCGTGGCCGGTGTGGAAAAGCAGGCCGTGGGGCAGGTGTGTGGCTTGCCGGATGTGCGCCGTGCATGTGTCCCGCAGGCTGAGCGTGATGGAGCAGGTTGGTGTGGATGGGAGAGCAGGCAGATTTAATGCTGCTTCTTAACCGCACCTTTTAATGAGCTCCAGGTAGGAACACCCTGTGCACGGATAAAGCCTCCCAGAAATGCCAGGTATTACGGTGGATTTGTCTGGAGCAAGCCTGGAGCTAACAGCCTGGGGGAGCCAGGGTGGTGTTTGGGTTTGGAATTCATTATGGAAGCACTGTAGATCCTCTGAAGTCAGGTGGAGGTAGGGCTCCTTCCCCATGCTAACGTTCTGCTGCTCTCCCAGATCCTGCCCGCGTGGTGAACATGCCCCCTGTCATCTACGTTCCCATCGGGATACACGGATACATCCGCTGCCCGGTCGAGGCGGAGCCCCCGGTCACTCTGGTCAAGTGGAACAAAGACGGACGTCCCCTGCGAATCGAGAAGGTAACGAAGCCCCCAGGGAGGGACGTGCGGGGGTGTTTTCAGGCCCTAGCATCGCTGGGCACTCTGCTGCTCCAGCCTCGTGGGTGGGATGACGCTGCTTTTCCTTATCAGCTGTGGGCAGAGTTAATTCGAGATCTTGCGTGGAGCCCTGTAGACCTGCTGTCTGCGTCTCCCAGACCTAATGCCTGCCACCCTCCAAAGCGACCTCCTGATGGCTCTGTTTTTGTATTTCCAAGGGCAGCTGATGGTTAAAAGACCCTTTTAACAAGTCTCTATCTTCCTGTAATCGTGGTTTGATAGTCTGAGCAAGAAGATTAGCCATTAAATATTTAAAGAAAACACTCAGTATTTTAAATATTTTGCTTAAATATTAACGATCCCAAGTCTTATTTCGGTTTTAACCTGTTGCTGCTGTGGCTCCTTGGTGCTCTCAGCCCCTTGGGTAGAGTTGTGCTACCAGAATGAGTTTTACTTCTTGTGTGATAGCTTGGGGTGTTAAATCTGGGCTACTTGAAGAATTGTGCATCTCCTGGGGATGTGGTGACAGCCTTGGGGTTTGGTGGGGGGCTTGGCAGAAGGGAAAATAATGACCTGGGGTGGGTGTAGGGATGTCAGCTCCCTCTTTCTCACTGCCACAGTATGCTGGCTGGAACCTGCTGGAAGACGGGTCGATCCGGATAGAGGAGGCAACCGAAGATGCTCTCGGCACTTACACCTGCGTGCCTTATAATGCCCTGGGTACGATGGGCCAGTCTCCCCCTGCCCGACTGGTACTGAAGGTAACTCACCTGCTAAAATCCTTGCTCCGCATCCAGTTGTGTCCTCCTGGCAGCTGGTCCCACGCTGAGGAGAGCTCCCGGGGTTGTGCGGGGTGCTGGAGCCCCGGGCCAGGCGGTGCGACTGCGTGAGAGCTCTGCAGAAGCATCTTAGGCTGCAGTGAGGCTTTTTGAACAGGGATTTTGCAACGTGCGTGTCGCTCGTTCTGCCTTGTGTTCAGCCCAGTGCTGCAGGGGAGGATGAGATGGGTTTTTTTTCTCCATGCTGCTTATTTGATGGTTAATTCTGTGCAGAAATTGAGGATTTACATTGCTTTTTTGAGCGCTTCTTTATGGAGTGACCATAAAGGGCTCTGTGGCCCCAAACTTACCTACTTTTCCACCTCAGCTTAACAAAAACCTCTTGCTCTGAGCCTCTTCTCTCATACCTGTGCTGAGAAAGGCCCTTGCCAGCATCCTTGAAGTGGAACAGCAGAGGTTTGAGCACAAGGATGTATCTGTGCCATGGTCAGGGATGTGCTTCCTACCGGGACAGGCAAACCTGGGGCAGCTGGAAATACCCCGCCGGAGCACTGGCTGGTATATGATGAGGCTTTGGTGTACTGGACCCAGGGTAGTTTGAGGAAACATGTCCCTGGGATGGCCTTTCTTTGCCTACAAAACACTTTACTCTGCTGACCTGGGTTTGGGTTCATGGAGGATTTTAATAAATGGATGATTTGAGCTCTGGAGATGCTCCGCGTGCTCTTGCTGTGTGCAGAGCCCGAGGCGTGCCGGGCTGCCGGCACGGCTGGGGTGGGAGCTGCTGCCTCTTCCTTCCCTGAACAAGAAGTCCCTGTCCTTGTGAGCGACGGTGATTCATGGTGTCTCATTGAAGCTCACATGAGAAGGCTTTGTGTATCATAGATACGCGCATCCGCGAGGACGGCTGTGGAGTCGATGAAATCAGGTTGATGTCTGAGATGTGGGTGGGTTTTTTTTCCTGTTTATCTCCTTAAAACCTAAACAAGGTGCCCTAGTGCAGTGGCTCTCGGGAGAATACTTCCCTTGGGGTGTGTAATTTCGTGTGTGGAGCCTCCTTAGCTCACGCTGTCCTCGCAATGCCTCGACCAAACCCGTGATTCCTTTGTTTTGGGAAAGGGCTGGTTTTGGTGCTGGGTAGCCGCTCACGTGCAGTGGGAGTTGGCGTGGGTTGATGCTTCATGCTTTTTTTCCCTTCTCTGCAGGACCCCCCCTATTTCACGGTGCTACCAGGCTGGGAGTACAGACAGGAGGCAGGGAGGGAGCTGTTGATTCCTTGCGCTGCTGCCGGAGACCCCTTTCCCATCATCGCCTGGAGAAAGGTACCCGGCCTGCCAGACAAATCTGCAGTGCCTTTGGCTTTTGGTGAATATTGCAGACAGAGAAGCCACACTCTGTCCCGGTAAGAACAAACTGCAGGTACAGCTGCTTCGCTTTGGGCTGAGCCACTGCCGTCCTGTCCCGCAGGTGGGTGGGGGAAGCCCGGCTTGTGACCACCGAGTACCTTAATCCCGTGAAACCCTCATGGCGGCATCTGCAAAGCCAGGTGCTGCCCCGGTCCCCCTCTTCTTCCTCGCTGGTGCTGCCCACAGGACACCCTCCTTGCCTGCCCTGCAAGGGGATCACCGGCAGGATGCGGCAGCCCCGGCGACGCCGTACTCATGGTGGGAGGGGATGTACCACCAGAGCGTGTCCGGGGGTCTTTCGGCTGTTTTGGCAAAGGGCTGGACCAGTCAGCGGCTGTTTCGCTGCCCTGTGACCTTGAAGACCCTGGGAAGAAGCTTTTTGAATGATGCTGGACTGGACGTGATGATTTCAGGATGCCCCTTTCCGTAAAGTAGGGCAGGATCAGGCATGGTGGCACAGCCTGGAGTCAACCAGGGCTTTCCAGTCCTCCTCCAGCTTTCTCCTTGCTTCCCACCTTTACTGCTCCTCTAGGAAAGCCACCGTGCAGGGGACCTTTGGGGCTCCCTGTCTGGATCTTCTCTCCAAGCCTCATGTCCCCGTCTTAGGGCTCCGAGAGTGAGTGGGGTCCCTGTCTCACCCAGTGGACACTGTCCTTGAGGTGTGTGAGGTGCTGGATCTCTTTTTACCAGCACGAGGAGGACCATGGCTGCACAGATGGCAAGTGACCTGCCTAAAACTTGTTGGCCAAATGGCCAGTCTTTTTCTATATCCTATTTTTCCTTCCCTTGTCCTGACATTCTGACTGGGGTTTCTTTTCAGCCCCTCTTGTGTCTTCTGGTAGTCCTCTTCATGTCAGGACTCTGGGTTTATCCTCCCTGACTCCAGTCAGGGCTAGCTTGGGCTGGGCTGTTTCCAAGGGCCAGAAGCAAGCTCCCTGTCAGCCCATCACTCTCTTGAAGGACTCCCAAAGACTTGGGCTTGGTGCTGGTAATCCCACACGCTCCCCTGCTCATGCTGCATGGCGTCGAGCTGTGGGTCCATCGGCTGAGAGCCCAGAGCGAAGAACAGCTGAAGAGGACTTGAGACAATGTGGGATTTGCCCAACTCCGGCTGGTGGGCATGGACACGGATTGTTAGAAGATCCATCTTTGCACTCGGCTTGAATGCTCCTGGGCACCTCCACACATCCCCCTGGGACACTGTGAGGGGTCACATGCGATGTGAAGGGTCCTGCGTCTCCACTGCCGCTGTCTGAGGGGCATTTTGGGGCAGCTGCTGTGGCAGGCGGTGCCCTCCCTGTCCTGGGAGGGTGTTTGCTGGGCAATACGCCTTCCTTGCAGCGTTTTCGGCTTCAGATGCTGGAGGTTGAGCCCTGGCACCGGGGCTCGGTGTCCGTGCGAGCGCCATGGGGGTTTTCCGCTTGCGTGTGAGTGCCGAGCATCACCCTCCCTGACGCATGCCTCTCGCGTTGCCCCGCCAGGTCCTCTCGAAAACGGGGGAACCGGCTGCCTTGCCACGACTGGACAGACCAGATCCCTTGCCGGTGGCCGGCGGTGTCCCCTGGGCCGCGCAGGTAGCTTAGTGACCCCGCTGCCGTCTCGCCCTGCTCCGTAACCCGCTTCTGAGTCCTGTTGTGTTTTTCCTCTCTCTTTGCCCGGTTTCCCCTGTTCCTTGCCCAAGGTAGGGAAGCCCAGCAGGAGCAAGCACAACACGCTGCCTGGCGGCACCCTCCAAATCCGCTCCCTCGGCAAGGATGACCACGGCGATTTTCAACATCGTCGCGAGCATTACTGCCAGCACCCACCTCACCGTCGTAGGTACGGCCAGGGCGTGGGGACGGCTCCCTGGGTGGGGTCCTCCAGGCGGCGTGTCGGCACGGAGGTGGGAATGCTGCCCGTGAAGAGCAATGTCTCCTTTAAATGTTATTTACTGGTGGAGCTGGCTTTTTCTGCGCTGTTATTTTGGCCGCCCGTGGGCTCAGCGGTCCTGCTGCTGAAATTCCAGGTGGCCTTTGCTTAGTGCAAGAGGAATCCCCTGGAATCACAGCTGGCACCAACCCCCTTGCCTTTTCCAGCCAGCCCGTGCTCTTGCTCACCCTTGAACCCCTCCCTCTCCCTCGGCAGGCACAAGCCCTCACGCCCCGACCAGCGTGCACGTGGTGGTCGCCATGACCTCTGCCAACGTCTCCTGGGAACCCGGCTACGACGGTGGATACGAGCAGACTTTCTCAGTTTGGTACGGCCCTCTGTGAGTCATCCTGGCATGCTTTGCTCTCTGCTTCTTTTCCTTCCTAGCCGACCCGAGCTTGGAGCAGCCGAGGGGGAGGAGGAGGGTGGCGAGGGTGACGTGCCTGGCTCTGCCTGTGGGCGTTACGGGGCTGAGCCTTGGAGAGACGGGTGGTGGGGGGATCACGTAGTTCCATGTCTCCTCTCCCTTCTGTGCTAGCCAGTATCTCCGTCTGCCCCAGCAGGTTTTATTCTGCTTATGGTACAAAGGAGATGCTTTGCATTTGTGTAACTTTGCCTCTGGCATCTAATTTCAAGATAAACTGTTTATGAAGCTTAACAGCCAGGGAGAGGATGGGAAATGCAACCTGTACAGAGCGCGTCCTGGAAGAGCTGTGACTAAGCAGAAATGATCTCTCTGTGCTTGGGGACTCTCTGGAGGTGGTTAAATCTCTGGCTGAGCTCACAACCAGCCATGTGAGATGCCGGCCGGGTCTGAGCCTCGCGGGGCTTTGCTCCTCTGCCAGCCTGTGCTACCCGGTACCCAAAGCCGGTGGGTGCATCTTGGCTCTCCCTTGGGGCAAGGGAGGGGGAAACGTAGCTGCAGCAAGGTCAGGGTTTTCTGTGGGCTCTGCGCTTGCTCTTGTCTTCCTCTGCGGAAGAGCCATCCTTGGAAATGTGGAGAGGATGTCTCCTTCCCTTCCCAGGGCTGGGCTGGCATTCTGCAGCCTTTCTTCTTGCTCTGTCTTTCCTTCCTTGCCTTAATTTGCCCCGATGGAGACCGCTGATAGCGCGGAGACAGCGGAGATGCTGCCTGTAATGATTTCTGCCCGGCTCCAGCCTGAGGCTGGATGCTTGTGGGGTGGGGCTGGACAGTCTGTTGGGGGAGGAAAAAGAAGAATGAAGGAGTGAGCAGAGCAGTGCAGACCTTGCTCTGATGGAAATGTCCTTGGGACTGAGTGGTTAAACCTCCCTGCGCTGAAATGTGGCTCACCTTGGAGGGAGGTGGCAGCTCTTGCTCTGCAACCTGCTGCTGAGTTCCTGCCTCCTCGAGGCTCTTCCAGGGCTGGGAGAGCAGCCAGCAGCGGGGAAGGGTGTTTGCACCAAGCTTGTCTTAAGGAATTGGGTGCTGTGGGGACATGGGGTAGGGAGGCAGAGACCTGTCTTGCCCTGACTGTAGGGTTGTGAGCCCTGGGGGCTGTGCTGCTCCCTTGGATCAGGGACAGTGCTGGGACATCTAGTGCCGTTGGAGAGCTGCCCATCTGTGCATTTTCCTCCCTGCTGTGGCTATGGGATGCTCAAGCAAAACATGGCTTCACCTCCTATGGAGTTCTGCTCCCTCCTCTGTGGTTGTAGGCACTGGGAATGCGAACCCTCTTCCCCAGGGATGGCCGGGGCCACTGCAGCATCCTGCTTGCATACACCCTCTCCCTCGGCAAGGACCATCTCCCATCCCTGGGGACCGTTAGTGCTGCCTTCACCCTCCGCTCTCCTCACCCTCAGCCCCTTGCCGGTGCGTGCCTGCCCGCAGCAGCGCTGGGGAGAAGGGATGCGAGGGCCGTGGGGTTAAATGCTGCAGGGAAACGCGCTCGGGGCAATGGGCTCCTCTGCTGCAGTGGCGAGGGACCCTGGGAGCTGTATTCCCAGCTGGAGCTGCAGTGGTACGGAGGCTTTCCTGCCCGCAGCCGCTTGGTTTGGTGGAGGCACGCTGCACATGCATGGCTCTCCACCGACCTGCTTGCTGCCATAGCTTGCTGCTGCTTCTCCCGCCTCATCTTTGCTCCTTTTACAGCGGCATTATTTGACTTTGCTCCATCTTTTACTTCCTACTCGGTGGATTTACCTGGCTGTATGCTGGTGGCTACAGATATGCCTGCTCACCGATGCAGTAATCCTTCCCAAATCCTCTGCGGACACCACCGAAACGTGCAGCTGAGGGCTGCGGCTCCCTAGAGCTTCCCAGCGGCATTATGGCTTGTGGAGGTGGTTGCTGTGGGATCTTTTTTCACCCTGGGTTTGGGGGTTGGACCCCAGCAAAAAGGCTGTGTCCTGCGCTCCTTGCAAGTGCCGCTGCTGTGCTGCTCAACCCTGAGTCATGCCCTGGGCTGTGCAGGCTGCCCCTGACCTGTGTAAATGTGGCAAAAATGGTGATTTAGTTCAATGTCTCCTGTGGGATTGCACATGGAGGGCTACAGGTGAGGGAAAACTTGGCTCTGGCTCTGGAGCTGTCGAGGTATAAATGGGAACAGGGCCTGTCTCCCGCTCCAGCCGTTCCCTTTGCAGCACTCACCGGAGTGAAAATGTGCCAGCTTCCACTTTAGCCATGGGATCTGATGGAGATAACCTCAGAGCGGGGCTGCTGGCACTGCCTCTGTCCCTGAACCTGCTCAGAGGGTGCACGGCAGAGGGGAGGGCTGGTGGCAACGTCCCTATGAGCCAGGGGACGCTGGCGTGGCACGAGGGGGTCGTGCCCCGTGCCTGGCAGTCCTTGTGTGCGCCGTCCCCGAGCTAGCTCTTGGGTGGCGAGTGGCTGCCCCATGTCCATACACATCGCTGCTGTCAAACCAAACCATCGCTCGGGAAAGCTCCATTTTTGCTCAAGAAGTTAATGCTGCCTCTTTGTCCTCCCTGTCGAAGGCACCTTCCCTGAGGATGCTCCCTTTTCTCTCGGCAGGATGAAGAGAGCCCAGTTTGGCCCCCACGACTGGCTATCTCTTCCTGTGCCAGCTGGTTCCAGTTGGCTCGTGGTGGATACCTTGGAACCGGAGACTGCATACCAGTTCAGTGTCTTGGCTCAAAACAAGCTGGGTACCAGCTCCTTCAGTGAGGTGGTCACTGTGAACACTCTAGGTAGGTCCTCCTGGGCACAGGGGGAGGAGAGGGAAGGGATGTGGGAGGACCGTGGGGAGAAGCAGCCCTTTGCCTTGTCCCTGTGTCTGGGGAGGGTGTGCAGCAGCAGTAATTTCTAGCCGTGTAGAAGATAGTAGAGGGTGCTGGGTGAAGCTTGTAGACTTTGCTTGGATGCAGGAGGCTCTTGAAAGCTTGTTCTCAGAGACAGCGTGGGAGAGCTGTACCAGTCACCTTTCAGATCTTCCTGAAGTTCAGCTGGGGTCAGGAGGTATTAATAGAGCACAAAATCACTTGCGTGCAGCTCAGAGCGGGAGCTAACACAAAGGGCCTTGCGCTGGTACCTGCCTCGGGGCTGTCTCCGGCAGAGGTGGGGGGAAGCAGGAGGGTTTCTAAGGCTGTGCCTCTTTGCTTGCACTCACTGCATCGTTAGTCCCCTGCCTTTTGGAATACTGCTTTTGTATCTCTGAAATAAGGCAGCACGCACCCGAGACGTGCCCTAAACTCCGGGCAGGTGGGAATGGCTGCGGGGGTCCGCCGGCCACGGATGGGGCACGTGTGGGGGAGCATCCTCCGCCCTTCCCCCTCAAAGGTGTCCCTGTCCCATGTGCTTTGCCTCCAGCATTCCCTGTAACAACTCCAGAACCTCTGGTGTTGGTTACCCCACCGAGGTGCCTAACAGCCAACCGGACACAGCAAGGCGTCCTCCTGTCGTGGCTTCCTCCCGCTAACCACAGCTTCCCCATCGACCGCTACATCATGGAGTTCCGCGTCGCGGAGAGGTGGGAGATCTTGGACGATGGCATCCTGGGGACTGAGAATGAGTTTTTTGCCAAGGACTTGTCCCAGGTAAGCATGGAGATGCCCATACCCCATACCTAGGTGTTGCGCTGCTCTGGGGAAGCTTTTTGGTGTGGCTCGGTCCCCGTGCTGGGGCCTTCAAGGATCTGGGCAAGGTTGGAGGCTGTGGTGTGGGACCTGACAGTTGTGCTTGGTGTTTCAGGACACCTGGTACGAGTTCCGGGTCCTGGCAGTCATGCAGGATCTCATCAGTGAACCCAGCAACGTTGCTGGCGTGTCCAGTACAGGTAAGGAGTGCCTCCTTCTTCTACCCCTCACTGTGGGAGCATCTCGGTTTCCGCTAGCGCTCGGGTCAGGCATCAGCAGTTGCTCACAACAGCCGTGGCTGGTCCTGTGCCTTTGCCTGAGACGCTCGGGCTGCGAGCTGGGCTGACGGGCACACAGCTGCGATGGGTGTCCCAGGCACGCTCCTGGCCCCGTGCCGCCTCCCAGTGCAAACCGAGCGGGCAAGGACAAACCGCCCCGTTTAGTCCTTCCCGCCGTGCGCGGTGTTGTCGGGTGGCCGATGGCGCGGAGTGGCTCTGCGGGGTGCCTGGAGAACAAAGCTCCGACCGGGCACTCTGCAGCTTGGTCATAGGAATGAAAGGTGCAGGGAGGGAAATGCAGCACTGCAGTGCGGAGTCCAAGTGGGGAAAAAAAAAAAAAAGGGCTTTGCAACAGGAGACTGCAGCGTGCACGCGTGCCTGGGTCCAGCTCAGAGGTTGCCCCTGGAGTGAGGGACGGATGAGGATGTGATTGTGATGGGGAAAGCGAGGGCAGCAGGAGAGGGGGATGTGGTGAACCCTGCTTTTATGGCGCTGGTGGAAAAGCCGAGGAGCCACCCAGCTCCGCTCTGCGCAGGCATGCAGCGGTCTCTCTCTGCCCTCAAGTGGTGCCGGCACGGCGCGCAGAGCTGCTGCCTGCTTGTCTGAGCCTGCCTGCTGCTGGCTGCCTGCCCTTGCTCCTCTCACACAGTGTTCTTGATGAGGTTTGGCAGCGTGCAGGATAGACGGTGCTCCCGGCAGACGAATGCGCGCTGACCCGGCGTGCAGGGTTTGCATCCACGAAAGGCTGCGGGTGGTTGGGCTGCACTTAGGAGTTGAAGAGGTGTGGGGAGGGTTTGGAGCCCAGTTTTCATGAGGGCTGAAGTGTGTTGCACTGATGCACAGGAGAAAAAACCTTGTGCTGCTACAGCCTGACCTGCCACAGGTTATTCAACCAGGAGATAACAGTAGTTTTGATGCAGCTGTGTACACTTTTCCATAAATATGTGTTTGTCTGGAGTCTTCTTCCCTGGGGTCCATCAGCTAAAGCAAAAAGGTTTATCTGGTGCGAGGTCACTAAACCCCTTGGCAGTGGCCTGCAGCAGCGCCGTCTGCTCTCCCCATGTGGGCTGGGTTGGAAGTGTCTTTAT